GTCCATGTCAGTTATATGTATTAATACACCGAGCGATTGGTCCATGTAAGTTATATGTATTAATGCACAGAGCGATTGGACCATGTCAGTTATATGTATTAATACACAGAGCGATTGGTCCATGTCAGTTATATGTATTAATACACAGAGCGATTGGCCATGTTAGTTATATGTATTAATGCACAGAGCGATTGGTCCATGTTAGTTATATGTATTAATACACAGAGCGATTGGTTCATGTTAGTTATATGTATTAATGCACAGAGCGATTGGTTCATGTTAGTTATATGTATTAATACACAGAGCGATTGGTCCATGTTAGTTATATGTATTAATGCACAGAGCGATTGGTTCATGTTAGTTATATGTATTAATACACAGAGCGATTGGTTCATGTTAGTTATATGTATTAATGCACAGAGCGATTGAGGGATGGTGGTTATATATATTATTGCATATAGCGACGGATTGTAACCTTGCACCGTGCAGCTGTAAAATATTATATTATATTATATTAATACTTACAGGTGAGAAATAACTTGAGATGATACTAACTGCAAATGCTGTGAACGACGCCTCACTGTGTGAACAAATTGACATAGACTTAGTCTAATTCTCGCTCGTCAAACATTTTTTCCCGCTGCCCCCAAAGCATACTATCATAATGGCAAATACGCATGAACAAATGTCATTAAAGCAATCATCGATTGTTTTAGTACTCGAGAACATGGAATGTGTTTTTGTAATGAAAGGCAGCTGTGCCCGATAATGCATGTACAAGCTATTGGATACTATAATAGTGTATCTTCCGGGGCGGAGCTACGTCACAAGACGTTCCAAGTTGCTAAGACGCGCACCACTGTACAGGTATTTCTATGGGCTCTGTGCGCGCTGCTGTGGAACGCCGGTCGAGCCGGTGAAAATTCGAGAAAACAACACAAACTCAACTTTGAAGTAATCCTGAACAACCAAATTTACTTATGTTACACACATAGGGCTAATCTTGTTACACTGTTCAGGGGGGTCTCAACAACCATCCCAAAGTACCGTTTTCTGCGAGTTTTTGGCCTTTGTTTTCACCGCGAGGGTTGCCAAGCGGTGAAAAACGCCCGGATGTCCGCCCCCGAGGATTGGTAATTCACCACGGCATTACGAGCGTATTTTGGCAACCAACAGACATAGACTGCAGGGTTTTAAGGTGGTGGTTAGTCTCCGAAGAACGACGATATTTGTTTTCTACCAGTTTTCCAATTAGTGTGTACTTTTTACATTCTTTGCTTGAGTTTGGCGGAAGTGATTTTTTTCAAGTTTTTTGTCAGCCGAACGGGAGATTTATTCGAGATTGCATTGGAAAGATACAAAAACAAACAAAAAACACTAGGACTTTACAATGTAAGTATCCCTATGGCAGCATACCCAGCAATATGTGGTACACGAGTTCCTCTTAGCAGTTTATGCAATGGACCGTCGCACTTGTTAGTACCTCCTGTGCGCGTGCGCAGTCACCGATTAGCGAGAATCGGCCGTTCGCACTCGAAGAAAACGGCGTTGGTCGCTGCTGTTGTTATCAATATTACATTTATGTGTTCTTGTTAAAAAAACAATTTATAGGCAATGTTATCGCAGCAGACCGCGAACATGCGTTGATCAGCAAGCGTCATTTGTTTATCTCACAATTGCGTCTCGCCAGACATGTAGGCGTGAATGGCGCTCTCACCGGCCGAACGGCATCAGACCCCACCAGCTCGTTGCGTTGTCACAGGAAGCGCTGTCAATGCAGCGTCAATGCCCACCAGCTGTGTTGGGTTTGGAGCACCGCGGAGGGCGCAACTCACGCGACCTTGTCAAGCTAATTCGCGTGCTGATTGGCAAAAATGTCAACAGAGTACGTCACAGCGTAGCACATAGCAGTAGATCGTTGCGTAATAATACTTACAACATAGCGACCCCCAGTCTGGTGAAGGCCAACTCCCAGAAACTCGTCGCGAACCCTCCTAAAATCAGCATAACACTCCATAACATCGCACATGCTGAAATGACGTTTTTACGGTTGTTCTTTTTCCTTTCCAGCATAATGCCTACTGGAACACCGGTGAAACCAAAGATAATGTTGAAAAGAGGGCCAGACAGAAGCTGATAAGCCATTCCAGTGCCAGTGTAATGGTTCCTACAGCTAGTTACGTGAGGCGGATACTGGCATCTAATAACAAACAAAACGAACCCTATATTTAAAGATGTTGAGTAATTATTCATAAAAAATGTAGTTGTTAAAGCGAGGGAGTCGTCACCTGCGCATGCGTCAGATGGTCATAGCATGTCATTGTTTACAAACAAGCGTCTATCCATGAGCCTTTGCGCTTTAGCGTGTGTTGTTATCGTCGCTTGGGACTCAATTCTCGCCCGCTTTAAACAACAAAGTTGAGGTCGGCTTTAATATTTTAAAGGGCTGTGTTCTTGTTCGAAGTAAATATAAACAAACAATGTACTAGTTTTTCGCACGAGTTGTGTATGTCGTTATGAGTCCAATATCGAGCAGAACACGGCTTGACGACTACCGTCCTGTTTTGCAGGGGTGGCAACTTTCAGGAGAGATTGGTGACATTTTAATGTGTTCAGCCCTGGTCTCTTGTACATAATTATGTGAAAATTTAAACACTAACAAAGAATTAATAATTAGTGTCCGTGTGTGCACACACTATACTATCCCCCGTTGTATTAGATTTCATGTTCAGTACAAAACTTCAGGCCTGGGTTACTATGAAATACAATCCCGTGTTTAACCAGCGAAAATAATGCATTTACGTCGTCAGTGTTATTCTATATTTGTCTATTGTCTGAAAATATGAAAATCATTTTCTAACTATTCACTGGGAATGACGGCTGATGTG